AGAGGAGGAAGTCTCCTTCTGGAGAAGGAAACTCTGTTTCTGCCTGTGGTCTGACTGTCCTGTGGTCTGACTGCCCTGTCTCTATGTAGGAGGAGAGGAGCAATCCCGTAGAGCTTCCCAGCTGGGTGCACTTTTACATGACCTCAGCTAAAATTAAAGGAAGCAGTCATTGCTAGTTGGGTTCTTTCTCAGATTTGCAGGGCAAGGAACAACATCCACGTCTCTCAGCAGCCTCCAGTGACATCATAGAATCATAGAAAGGTTTGGGTTGAAAGGGTCTTTAAAGATTATCTAGTTCCAACTCCCTTGCCATGGACAGGGACACCTTCTACTAGGACAGGTTGCTCCAATCCCCATCCAACCTGGCCTTGAACACTTCCAGGGATGGGGCAGCCACAGCTTCTCTGGCCAGTGCTTCAGCACCCTCACAGGGAGGAGTTTCTTTCTTACATCTAATCTAAACCTCCTTTCTGTCAGTTTGAAGTCATTCTCCCTTGTTCTGTCACTACATGCCCTTGAAAAAGTCTCTTTCCAGCTTTCTTGTAGGCTTCCTTTAAGTACTGGAAGGTGCTATAAGGTCTCCCTGGAGCCTTCTCCTCTCCAGACTGAACAACCCCAACTCTCTCAGTGTGTTCTTATAGGGGAGGTGCTCCAGCTCCCTCATCATCTTTGTGGCCTCCTCTGGAAATCATGGTGACTGACTGACTCATTCTGTAAGTCCAGCATCCATTACTCGCTTGCATGAAGATGGCAGAATTTGGCCTTATACAGTATTTGTGCTATGCCAGGTGAAAAATCTGTGTTTCTCCTGACAGCCATTGGTTTTGCAGTGCACACTTTAATGTTGAAGTACTCATTAGAAGAGCACGGTTGGAGCAGAATGCAAGGGTCAAGTACATAATATGAAGGGGACACTAAAACATGGAACTAGATTGCATGAGTCAGGGGACAGACCAATTTCAAGTCTATTTTTGAGTTTGAAAGAGGAGTCAAGACTGTTTGAAGGGAACTAATAAAATCAACAAAGTCAGGCTATTTGTGGTAGTGGCAGGTGGTGCAAAAAGGACCAATGGCCAAGAATACAGCTTGGGGTGCTCAGACTGGATATTAGGGCTGCCATCTTCCCCAGGGAGGTAGTGCAGCACTAGAGCAGGTGACCCAGAAGCTTGTGAAATCTCCATGCTTGGAGGTCTTCAGGATTTAACTAAACAAAGCTGTGGCTGCCTGGTCTGGCATTGAAGATCATCCAGCTTTGAGCAGGCATTGTGACTAGGCATCTCCAGAGGTGCCTTCCTACCAACACTGCTGTGATCTGGCTGGCTGTGATGGACATGGACCTATGTTGGTCATGAATGAGAATGTATCAATCTTTACCATGTCTAGAGTCATGCTGCAGTTCTACTCTCTCTGTGGACCACATGTCTGGTGCTGGTCCTGTGCTTAGTCTGGTGGAAAGCAGAGTACAGGGTGAGGATTGATGGGGGAATGATGGTTGCTGACATGGAGTTGGGTCCTGGCCTGTTATAGAAGTGCTTTGCAGTCTGCATTGTTTTTAGTTTTCTTCAGTGCCCACTGGATATCATACAAAAACAGATTGTGCTGGAGTGTTGGATGAAGCGTTAAAAACAGTTGATCGATAATCATGAATTTTGAGTAGACACTGGGACAGAAGCTGGGAGACCTCTGCTGTCACTGGAGCTGCTGGCAGGATGTTGCCAGCCAGGGAGGAAAGGATTGGGCACAGCAAATTGCATGGACCTCTTAACAAACAAGCTCAGTGTAGCCATTCCCTGTGTTCATGACATCCACTACTGTAGAAAAGAGTTTTTCACACAATTAGCTGGAGTGAAAGTAGCTATTGAAAGACACTGCACATATTATATCACATGTCCTGCAGATGATAGAGGAAACTCTTTCCTTCTTCTGTCCTGAGGATGGCACCTCTGAAAGTTTACACCTGCTTGCTAGAAGTTGTATCTCCTGTAGACTCTGATTAGATAATCACTTTACAATATTCATTAGTCAGAGGCTCAGTGTAATAATATACAGACAAACGGAAGGATTTCATACTTGTGTGTTGACTCAGTTGTGGTTGGTTTTTTTTTCTGGTTGTGGGTGAATAAATGGCAAAAAAACCCCACAAGCAACAACTCTAAGTATTTAGATGTTTATCTGCTTAATTTTTCTGAGCAACATTTACAAGCATTAGTGAATCATAGGCAAGACAGAACCCTGCGTGGCTATAGATACATAAGAGGCTCCATTCTTTCTCTTAGCATGTACAGACACAGAGAATTCCCAGGATCTGAGTGGGAGAGATGCACTGTGACTGATACCACCCACGTTCTTCTCCCACATGCTGAATGTGGCCCAGCTAGATCCCAGTGCTTACTGGGGCACTGGGACTCCCCTGTACAAAACCAGGCACCCATGAGCTATCCCCAAATGCAGAAGAGGTATGGAGAGCAGCTCTCCTCCCTAACAGTCCTTTGACTCCAGGAGAGATTAGATTCCTCTTGTTTCTCTGGTTTCCACCTTTTGTAAAATGTACTTAAGCATTGTCTCCCCCTTTCCCTGGTAAGAACTCATGACCACAGTGACGGGGGGGTGAAGGTGTACACCCTGCACATAGCAGGGACCTCTAACCAGAAGAGCCTGCCTGTTCTGGAAACATCACTTTACACATGGTCACTGCCCATATCACTGGTATCCAGCATTTTCCTGTGCTCCACTCACTCCCCCTTCACTCCCTCTTTTCCCACAGACACAACCCCTCAAGCTGTGGACACCTGTCACAAGGGCACAGGCAGATGAAACATCATGTCTGGAGGCAAAGGAGGCAGACAGGGGTGTGGGCTGAGATCTATTGTGGCACTCAAAATTAGGAGTGCCTGGAGGCTTTCAGAGCTATAAACAATGCCCACTTCATTGTCTTTCTCCCCGGCTGGAACGAAAAAGAGAAGGAGCTGCAGCTCTGTGCTCTGTCCATCTGCACAGTTGTGCTTGCTGGACACGTGTGCAGCAGGTAGAAGGTTTTACTGAGGGGAAGTACACTCAATGCAAGCAGTTTTCCTTTCCACATGTCTGTCACAAAAACTGTTTGTATTTGATATTTTGGGTAGTAAGTAGGTCCTACCATGGTACAACTGTTGTTCCTTTTATCCCCCCGCCATCACTCACAGGCTGGGGCAGAGGAAGCTCTCCTGGGGCAACATCACTTCTTCAGAGAGAGATGCTGAACTGCAGTAGTTGTGCAGGACTATAAAAATGAAGCCAAGCCTGTTGATCAGTGCATACTGTAATTCCAGTACCCTTTTTTCCTCCTGAGGACATATGTACTACAGCAAGAATTTCATTCAGCAAGAGACATTTTAGGCTTATAGAGATATCTGACAGCTAAGGTAGATATCTTGAGGGATATCTTTCATAGAAGCAGCTGGGTCAGAAAAGACCTCCAAGATCATTGAGTCCAACCCTACCATGGTTACTAGACCATGGCACTAAGTGCCACATCCAGTCTCTCCTTGAAAACCTCTAGGGATGGTGAATCCACCACCTCCCTGGGCAGCCCATTCCAATGCCTGATTACTCTCTCCATAAAAAATCTTTTCCTAATATCCAACCTAAACCTCCCCTGTCAGAGCCTGAGTCTGTGCCCTCTTGTCCTACTGCTGGTTGCTGGGGAGAAGAGAGATGTGGTAAACTCACCCACAAGCCTACCCCTAGGTGCACAAGTACCTTTGAACACTCTCTGCCAACACTGAGGCACTTAGACTATAGAAGTGCTTGAAGACAGAGTGGAAAGAATTATTTTGAAAATGTTGGAAGGTTGTTTTAAACCAACTTGGTAATTGTTAGCATTTTCTAATTTTGACCCCTAAAATTTTGGCCCCTTAATGGACATATTTGTAAAAGGCTGTGTGATTAAAAAATATCTCATATGCTCCACACACAGCCCTCCACTCTGCCTAGTGAATATTTTAGTGACCTATTTACAGCAAGAGGCTTTTATTGAACAGAGTAGGCAATTGCAGAGGGAAACAGAAGACCCGTCATCCTTGTGACAATTATACGTCTGTCTCTATTTGTGTAATCCACCCTCTCAACCTGACAAACAAGAGCCTGTGCACGGGTTTTGAAAGGCAGGCAACCATCACCTCCTGTGATCTGAGTATTTTCTTGCATACGCTTCCTCTAGCCTGTAAAGCAGGTAAGTCTTCACCTTTGCATGGTGATATCACTCAGGACTTCAGTCTTGCCTTGAAGTGCATTCTGGCTTTTTAATCTTTCTCCCAGGGCTTAATCAACATAGAGTTTCTCTTATACCTGATTTCCATTTTTAGTTACTTTTTGAGTCAGCTACTCTGCAAGTAATAGCATTTCCATATTTTTTCTCGGTGGTACTTCCTTGTCTACCTCCTTACTGCAAACCTTGGGGGTGCCTAGCTCACATTTGGTTATTGCAGGCAATCTACAGGGAAAAGGCTCAGCCCAAGCAAGCACAAGTGAATAAATTGAAAGCTGATACTTATATCCCTACTACTGGTGATCTTCCTCTAACCCCCTCTAAATTGGTGTGGAGCTTTCTGCAAAAATGTGCATCCACTGGTATTTGTTGAACTCATTTTCTTGTGAAAACTTTTAAACGAGCATCTAGGAGTGGATTGCCTTCATTCCCCTTGTGTTTTCAGTGAGAAAATGCTTCCTTATACAGAAGCTTTGCAAAATGGATGCACAGTGGATCACTTTCTTAAATAAACCCCTCCCATTCCATTTACCTTTTTGAAGTAGTTGTTAGTGTGTTCAGTTTTTTTTATAACAGGTCATCCTTGCTCACACAGAGCCAACAGCATGGAGCAACTGAAAACTTTTCAGTTATTGGTAGTAATTTCTCTCTTCAGCTGGCCCTCCATCCCTTTCCACAGACTGGCCTTTGGTTTGGCTCTTGTGCAATGCCACTAACTTTGTGCCTTTGCCCCGCAGCTCCCCAGATCATTGCTATGACCACACCGCTGGAGGATGCAATAGACACCTTGATCAGGATTTTCTATCACTACTCTGGAAAAGAAGGAGACAGACACAAGCTCAGTAAAGGAGAACTCAAGGACCTCCTCACCAGTGAGCTCACTGACTTCCTTTCAGTAAGATGCAGCATCTGAACTTCTTCTTACTGTTTCATGGGTGGGATAAGCAGCTATTCAAGTGCTTGGATAGGAATAGTATCTCCTTCTGCAAGGCCCATCCTGCCATAGCCTTTCAGATGACAGCTCTTTGTGGAGCTGGACAGAAGGAGATGAGATCAAATGTCCCATTTGAGAAGTGTGTTTTCAGAGGGTGGTCGAGCTCCAGTGCCCTGCCATGTACGACCAGCAGCAGAGATGGGACACTGAGGTCTGTTTACTCCTCAGCACTTTCAAGCAGGAGGGCAAAGCTAGCTTAGAAGCAGTAGCAAGATCAAAGGAAAAATCAGGTTTTAATTAGTTTTTTGTTTGCCTATTCATTTTTAATAATAGGGCATAGATAAGTCCTTTGAAGAATTAAATCCAGCACTCCAGCCGCAGTTCTCATGAGACAGGACCACAGCTTGTGCACACTGGTCACAAAGTACACAGTGCCCTGCAGACAGAGGCTAAGAAAACCCTTTAAATTATAAGCTGCTGATCTGAGTATCTATTTGATTCACTGTTCTTACTCCCACTGAATGGGATGTGCTGTTTGCCAAAGAGAGATCTTCTGGATGTGATGAATGGATGTATAATATGACCACTTACAAATAGCCTGTTGAAAACCTAAGTACTGTTCTTTAAGGGATGATACAGAGAAATGCACATTACAGATCCATCTTGTCAAAAGGAATCCGTGTTCAGCATCTCCTAAAACCTGTTTGATTAATTTCAGTGCCTGTTTAGTACCTGTACTCCCTCTAAAAGCTGCACTGTCTTTCAGTTTCTGATGCTGTGATTAGTGCTGTGTTACTGTTCAGGTGCATATTTGATGCTGCCTTTTACTGAATAGCAATAGTCTCATAACACAGCAGTGAGCTGTACTGCCAGGTGTGCCAAAATTATGCATTCAAGGTCTGCACAACTAAGTCACTTTTCTTTCTCTTTAGGGCCAAAAGGACCCCTTCGTGGTTGATAAGATTATGAAAGATCTGGACTCCAATAAAGACAATGAAGTGGATTTTAATGAATTTGTCATTCTGGTTGCTGCTTTGACCGTGGCATGTAACGATTTCTTTGAAGAACAGCTAAAGAGAGAGGAATTTTGAAAATCCTCAATATAATCCATCTCCTGGTCACAAATGTCAGCAAAGCATGCCTAGTTAGGTAGCCCTCATAAGTGTTTAGTGAATGCAAACCATCATTCCTCCAACTGTTAGTGCTGTAAGACATTTGTGGAGCTGATCAGCAGCTGGTGGAAGCTGGACCATCGCCAGCCTACACTCCTTGAGATCTGACTTTTAATATTTTCAGTCTTTACACTGCATGCGTCTGTAACATGCCTTCATCAGTGGCCCAGGTCAAGGGCTTGGGGTAACAGATCATTTGGCAGCAGCTGAGACTTCTGATTCTTAAATGTCAGTGGAAAGTAAAAGGCACAGGAATGTTGCTCCTATACTTTCTGAATGGGAGAATTTGGAACGAGAGATGAAACCTGCAATTGAGTTTTCAGGCATTTTCTAACAACCATTTTTTTCACAGCTTAAACCCAGCAGATTCTTCTTTACTTGGCTCTGCTTATTCTAAAGCCCTTTTTAGATGCTGCTTTGTATCTCCCCACACTCGTATTTCAGATGTGGTCACAGCTGCCTCTTGCTGCCTGAGCAGGCGATACTGCTTGCCGTTGTTACAGGTTCATTTCCTCCACCTCCCCAGCTTCAATTTTGTTGTGTTGTCATTACTGCATCCCAGTAGACAACCTCTTCACTTGGCATAAGTGAATTTATTCATATGGTAAATTATTCAACTACCCAGAAGATTTAATCAGCAAACTGTTCTGAGGGCTGATGTAGGGACTGGGTCTTCAGGGAAAATGTGTCAATGCCTTCTGCTTTCACTGCTCTGGCATGGTTAAAGGAGGGCTTTTAGAGGACCACTTCTAGGGGTTTTGATGATGGGATTCCAGGCCACAGCTCTGTCATGTGAGTCGTCTTATGGAATATTGATTTCACCTCATGCTGATCCAACCCACTGCATCAAGTGGCAGTGGTATCCCATGGCCAGGCATGGAGGGAGTAGGACAATCCCCTTCAGTGTTAACTTGCTCTGGGGTTGAATTAAGAGTACTTCCACACTTCTGTTTGAATTCAGCATACCTCCAAAGCCCTGTGAAGCCTCAGCTTTTATCTTGCATGGAGAGCTCTGTTATTTCCTTGTTATTTTGTTGGCACTTCAAACTATAATAAAAGATATCTGAATTAAAGATTAATTAAAGATTTTCTGTTTTTGTAAGAGGTTAATAAAAAAACATCCCCCAGTGAAGACCTGGCCTGCAGGGCAACGTTTGAGGAATGCAGTTCACTTATCTCTCCTTTCCAGACCACCAAACATCATTAAGTAAAGGCTATATCTGCATGAAATTACATACCATTAAGCATATGTAATTTATTATGAGCAGGGGATTCTATAGGGTGTAATAAGTGTAACAAGGGGCAGATATTAACCTAAGAAGGGGACCACCACCAAATTATGTTACCCCAGAAAAAAAGCAGACTTTGCAGTGTTGGCAGAGCCACATTGTGCTGCCTCTTTAACCCTTCAGTGACAGGAGTTGTATAGGATTCACAGAAGATCTTCTAGACCAACAGAGCAGAAATTATTTACCCCCTCTAATGCCACAGAATCATAGAATCATAGAATTTAAGGGTTGGAATGGACCTTACAGATCATTTAGTCCCAAGCCCCTGCCCTGGGCAAGGACACCTCTCCTCACTAGATCAGGTTGCTTAAGGCCTCATCCAGCCTGGCCTTGAACACTGACAGGGTTGGGGCAGCCACCACATCCCTGGGCAACCTGTGCCAGTATCTCACCACCCTTAGGCTAACAGACCTTTTTTTCTCACATCTAACCTAGACCTTCCCTCCTTCAGTTTGAAGCCATTACCCCTTGTTCTATCGCTGCAGTTCCTAACACAGAGTACCTCTCTGGCTCCTTTGTAGGCCCTCTTCTTGTCATGCACCTCAATATCATTGCAGCTGTTGAAGGGGGATGGCAGGAGTATCAGCCAGAAACAAGACTGCTTTTATGCTTCCCCATAGGTCCTGCAGACTGTTGCCAGTCTCCAAGCCTTTCCCTTTCCTCCAAGGGGAAGTGAAAGAAGAGCAGCCTAAAGTTTCAACTCCAAGCTAAGAGGAATAAGATTGTCCCAGTAAGGACATCTTCTTTATGACTTTTGAGCAAAAGGTTTTTTGGAAACAAGCTCCAGAAAGTTTATAAACCCTCTGCTCATGCCTGATGAGCCCCTGGACATGTAGCAGCCTATATGCAGAGCAGAATTATGCTAAGTCACAGCTGGCAGCAGCAATGTGCCCTGGGGTCAGGCAGCAAGAGCTGCTGCTGTGATGGAGAGGGCCAGTGGAGCCATCTTACCAGCTGAATTTACTAGGGATTGTGTGCATCCTAATTCCTCTGTGGAAGGGGCTTGCTTGCACATGAGCTGTGGGTGAATCAGAGGAGAATGACTCAAATTATCTTTGTTCCAACAAAGCTTTATAAAACCTCATAAATCACCCTTTTTGGCTTGGCTGGTTAGGTTTCTCTTTCTCTTGTTGCTGTTTTAACTGCAAGGATGAATGTTAAACTCTATCAGCTTTAAAGAAGAAACCTTTGTGTACAAAGAGCGGAGACTAAGCAGAAAAGGAAGAAAATGCACAAAACTCCTTCAAATGCTCCAAATCACAAAAACTTGGCACAATTTGGGGTCCTGGGGTAAGACTTGCCATCCTAATAACCAGTGGGTTATTCCTCTTTTGTTCCTCTCCCACATGAGCCAAGTAATGCTGCATTAGTAGACATCACTTCTAAGATACTGGAAGATCACCAGAAAGTTTTAAGTTGCCTCCAAACAAAAAACAAACTGTGAGCAATCCTCTGTTCTGCAGTCCTCTGTTCTAAGTTCTCCTCAGGAAGGAGCACTGCACTGAAGCCGCTTACACTGGCTGTGCAAGAAGCTGTTGCACATCCAGCCTCACTATAGCCACTTTGTTCTGCAGACATGAACATTTTGGGTTTACCTTCTCTCCTTCAAGCATGAAGGCAGGAATTTTTCTCATTGTTTACTGACACTTTTCCGGCTGACTCCAAGTATTCCTATAGTTCATGAGTCCAGAAAGCACTTTTAAATTTTACATGCAGAGGAAGCTTGCTGTGTGGCTTTCTTCAAAGCCTCTCAACTTTAGGAATGATGTATAATTACAGACATTTTTGCCATTTGTGTTATCAGACTGTCTGAAAAATCTATAGAATATTGAACAGCGCAATATGGCTTAATATTTTCAAGTTACTTCAAAGACCAATAAAAATACAGCAATGCCAGACAAGATCTTTTCTAGGTATTGTGAAATTGTTTTGCTTGACATCTAAAAAGGAGATTTTCAGAAGATAAATTATATTGTCTTGAAAGCCTCAGCCTCCACCATTTGCTTTTATTTCAGCTCAAAAGACACTTGAAGACCCAGTGCATCTGGGTACACAAAGCTTGGTGCATTATCCATTAATAAATTTATAACTTCTTCAGACTCATTATCCAACTACTGATCCCAAAGAGCAGCATATGACACCATCACGATGACAAGTGGTTTGCAATGGAGGGGTGCTTCCAAGCTGTGACTTACTGGTCAGGTCCAACAATAGGAAGGCATCACCTTTCTCACTTTTCAGCAGTGTCAAGCACAATCAGATAATCATCGTACAACATTATTTCCCTGCCCATGACAGGGAGGGGTTGGGACTAGATGATCTGTAAGGTCCATTCTAGATGATCTAGATGATGACCTAGATAAGGACTAGATGGGTTGGGACTGGATGATCTGGAAGGTCCATTCCAAACCCTAAAATTCTATGATTCTATGATCATTTCCTCCTTGTAAAGGTGAGAAACCAAATTGCCTGGAATTGTGTGAAGGAAGAGAGAAGTGACTCTAGGAAAACCCAACAGAACAGGTGATGTTTCCAGCAACCGGGAATGTCATTAACTGCTTTCCACCAATTGCAGCAATGCAGATTCGCCCTAGGTCACTCAGCCACCCAAGGCCCTTTCCAGGCTCCATGCTGCAGCATAAAGCAGAGCATGGCCAGGAGGGAAATTCCCAGGGGCAGCCCAGAGTCCATTGTTTCAGCTCAGCAGCACACGTAAAAGATCCACCCCCTCTCTGATCACAGACTTGAAGAGGTTGGGTAAAAGGTCAAACCACAAAACTTGTATCTGAAATCAGATTAATCTATATAAAGGTTTTTGACTGGCAGGAAGATTTGTCAGACTGTGATGTGACGTCATGTGCATGTCTAATAAGGGGTTTGATTGACAGGCCAACAATTATTAGATTTGTCTTTGGGGATAATTAAATCTGTTGAATGTCACTGTATTATCTGAAGAAAAAAAGGGGTCACATTTTCAATTTTATCTTTCTTCTGCCACATGATACGGCATGAGAGAGAATGCCTCATTTATGATCTGGTAATCTTTTCTCCAAACTAGCTCCATCCACATCCTTTCCTTTGAGTTGCGGTATGGTGGGTTACAGGCCCCGGGCAGCCGTCAAAGAGAGCACATGAATGAACTTCCCAAAAAACACATTAAATAGAGAAAAGCAAAAAACTTGTCCTTTTTAAGTACCAACTCTCAGCCACCTGCAATCAGTTGTGTGAAAGGGGCAACTCCCAAGGAAGAGAACTGCAGCTGCATCCACTTATTTTGCCCTTGCAAGTAGATTCTCAGCTGATGTAAAATGGCAGAGCCTATTGCACTTAGTGGCATAATTTTGCAACAGCTGAGGCCATGTGCTTGAGACTTTAAATTAGCCCTCAAAGGAAAGCTGTGCTTCTGTTAGCTGGTTGGCTAAATAAGGACATGTCTGTAAAACTGCAAATGTTGCAACAAGGCAGCTAAGGGGAAGACAGAAGGAGCAGTTGCTCAGAGCACAGGTATTTTGGGAAAAATTAGTGGAAAAAAATCCTGTGATACATTTCCTTTAAAATCTAAGCTGTCCTCTCAGGTTGTGGTTGACTTCTTGGGCTGCAGAGAAAATTGTCATAGTATAGCTTTCAACT